TAAAGTTTAAATACGATCACTGCAAGTACTAAGTAGAAGACTTGATCGGACACCACTACAGTGCTACAAGAGATACTTCATTTTAGTGGACGTACAGAATATATCTCCTCTTTAGTTAGGTTGTATAATTAGTTTGTCTAGTTAGTTTGTTTGCTCTGGTATTGTGAACCCTTGTTAAGTGTAATTTGGGATGACTTTGTGTATATTTACTATTTAGTTATACTTGATACTTATGAATGATATGTATATTAATCACTAATTGTATGTTCTAATTATTGTGTATCTTACTTATACAAGAGTGTATTGGTAATCAAATACTAAGAGGAACCAATAATAATTAATAAATCATAATAAAGTGAATGTTGGTATTAAAGGTGTCACATGACTCACTTTATATGGAGTCAAAACTTGGCTCGAAACAACTTGACATGTGAGCTAAGTGAGTTGAGTTCATTTTTAACTCATTATAGGTAGAATTTATAAAAAATGAACCCAACCTGGCTCGAACTATTGTGAGTCGAATTGGCTCATGGGTTACAATTGATATTGATACCCCTACACACATAAGCCAACATATTTATTGTGTTTGCCGCATCACCGTGTTTTAGTTGTATCACAATGTATGTCACATTTCAGTCATGTCACAACTAGGGGTATCAAAGTGAGCAAATCCATCTCACACGAATTAACTCACCATTAATTAAGTAGAAAATAAGTGAACTCAACCCGACTCACTTCATGGCGAGCCAAAAAAATTTACAACCTGGCTTAACCCACTATGTATTGGTGGGTTAGGTGGGTTGACTCACTAACCCACATTTACTTTTTTAATATTCACTTTTTTTTTCTAATAAGCACAACTAAATTGCTGACTGAAATAATATAATGTGGTGACACGATAAACTTTGTGACTCGACTGAAATGCAACAAACATTATGGAGCAATTAAAGCACGGTTGAACGATAAATGCAATGATGCGACGAATGCGAGGGCGTGTCAAATACTATGTTGTGCCCCAAACGTGAGACAATCTATTACAGGTATACAATCTATTACAGGTATGATCCAATTCCACTAAATGATGCGACGAATGCGAGGGCGTGTCAAATACTGGGTTGATACAATTCTTGGCGTTTGCATGTATACAATCTATTACAGGTATGATCCTATTCCACTAATACTTATTAATGTTTCTTTATGTCTACTTTCAACTTATTGTGTTCATCTTTGTGTTTGTCTTATGCAGGTGCATGTGAACATCCTATTGTAGGTATGATCCTATTCCACCAATACCTATTGTATTTCTGTTTGTGTTTGACTCATGTAGGTGCGCGTGTACATCCCATTGCAGGTATGTTCCTACTCCACCAATAGTTACTAATGTTTCTACACGTCCACTGTCAACTTATTATGTTCATCTTTGTCTTTGTCTTATGCAGGTACAAGTGTACATCCTATTGTAGGTATGATCTTATTTCACCAGTACTTATTAATATGTTTATAGATCCACTGTCATTCTATTGTGTTTGTGTTTATCTTATGTAGGTGCATGTGAATATTCTACTGCAAGTATGATCCTATTGCACCAATACTTATTAATGTGTATATACTTCCACTGTCATCCTATTGTATTTCTGTTTGTGCTTAACTTATGCAAATGCACATATACAATCTATTACAGGTATGATCCTATTCCACAAATACTTATTAATGATTCTTTATGTCTACTTTCAACTTATTGTGTTCATCTTTGTGTTTGTCTTATGCAGGTGTAAGTGTACATCCTGTTGTAGGTATGATCATATTTCACGAATACTTATTAATGTGTGTATACTTCCACTGTCCTCTTATTATGTTTGTCTTATGCAGATACACATGTACATATTTTTGCAGGGAAGATCCTATTCCACCAATATTAACCAATATGTCTACACTTTCACTGTCATCTTATTGTGTTTGTATTTTTTTTATTTGTCTTATCTATGTGCACGTGTACATCCTATTGCAGGTATTATCCAATTCTACAAAAACTTATTAATGTTTCTATACTTCCACTATCGGCGTATTGTGTTTGTGTTTGTCTTATGCAAATGCACGTGTACATCTTAATGCAAATATGATCCTATTCTACCAATACTTATTAATGTGTCTATACTTTCACGGTCATCCTATTGTGTTTACGTTTGCTATTTTGTTTGCGTTTTCTTTTGTGTTTGTTTTTTTGTTTTTATTTTTGTTTGTGTTTTTTTTTTGCGTTTGTGTTTGACCTTGTGTTTGTGTTTGTATGATTTTGTGTGTGTTCATGATTGTGTTTGTGTTTGTGTGTGTGAGTTTGTGTTGTTCGCTCAATTTATATCGAGTTAATAATTTTACAACCCCCTCAACCCACTATGAGTTAAGTATTTTGGGTTACTCAACCATATTTATTTTCTTTTACTCAATGTTTGCTTTTAATAAGCACAACTGGATTGCAGGACTGAAAGAATATGCTGTTGTGGCACGAAAAATATGTGACGCGATAAAAATGCAGCTAATGTTATTGAGAAATTGAACATAGAGGTGCACATGTATATCCTATTGCAGGTATGATCCCATTCCACTAATTCTTAATAATGTGTCCATATTTTCACTGTAACCCTATTATGTTTGTGTTTGTTTTTTTTTTTATTTGTCTTATGCAGGTCCACATGTATATCTAGGCATGGCAACGGGCGGGGCGGGGCGGGTTTTGCCTCCCAGTCCCGCCCCGACTTTTTAACCATCCCCGTCCCCGCCCCGATCCCGCCGGGGTTAGGAATTAAGTCCCCATCCCCGTCCCGCTGGGTTTCGGGTTCCCGCCCCGCCCAGTCCCCAATTTATATTATTTTTAAAAAGATAATTATATTTATAATAAATTAATTTTACTATGTATTTTTATATATAAATAAATATTTATAATTTATAGTTATTATTAATTAAATATACATTTTAATTTATTATATTTATATTAAAATATATGTAAAAGAAATATTTAATTATTTTTTATTTATATATATATATAATATTTATAACATTATTATTATTATTATTATAACACTGTATTCAAATATTTGAATATTTATAACATTATTATTATAATACTGTATTCAAATATTTAATTATACATATAAGTTAATTCATTTTTAAGTTGTCAATATATAGTTTATAAGAAAATATTTAATAAGTTAATTCTTATTTAATTAGTTTGAAGTAATAAAAGTTTAAATTATTAATTTCTTTTAATCCTTTAAAATGCAATTATTTTATTAAGATAAAATTTGATATATGATAAATAAGCATAATAAGATAAAAAAATATGGCATAATAAATATAAATTATAAATAAACTAATATTAGTTACTACTAAGATTGATGTAAAATATTTAGAAAAAGATAAAGAAAAAAGATTAACTTTGTGTTCATCAAATTGGTTGAAAAGATTGAAAAAAAAACAAATTGATGGGAGAGACTAAGAAAATGTGAAAAACTGAAAGATAAGGGAGAGAATAATATAATAAATTAATTGATATAAAAGATTGAGAAAGATAAAAAAAATTAAAAAGTGGGTAGAAGAAAAATAAAAATTGGTGAAATATAAAAAAATAACCTTATATGTAATAGAAAAAGAAAATGAAATACTTTTAAAATATTAATATTTTAAAATTTAAATTTAAATATAAAGTCGGGCGGGACGGGGCGGGACGGGCGGGTCGGGTGGGGATTGCATTACCCATCCCCACCCCCGCCCGACTTTTTAAAGCGGGAAAACCCTAACCCGAGCCAGCCCCGGTCAACTCGGGGTTTCCCCGTCAAACTCGGGGCGGGGACGGGTCGGTCCCCACGGGTACGGGTTTAATTGCCATCCCTATATATATCCTATTGCAGGTATAATCTTATTCTAGCAATACTTATTAATGTTTCTATACTTTCACTGTCATCCTAAGTATGATTAGTACAAATAAAAATTATAAAAGAAGTACAATATAAAATAATTTACACGAAGAATATATTTTGATTAAATAAATAAGAGTAACATTAATCATTTGATATATTTTTTATTAAAGTCTTCTTAAAATAACATTTATTATTCATGTTAATAATATATATTAAATATAAGCTCTAAATCCTAAATTTATAAATCTAAAACTAAATTTAGATAATATATAATATGATTAATTAAATTATTTATAATATATATTAATTATTGAAATAAAATACAATTGCGAGTTAACATCAATCGACGTAAGATTTGTATTGTCTAAAATGTTTTCTTATAAATTTGAGAGACATTCATCTTAAAATTTATAAATTAAAAAAATATAATAAATTTATTAAATTTTACGGTGTTACAAAATATTTTTTCTTTAATATGTTCAAATAAATATAAATGACATCAACAAAAAGAGAATATAGTTAATAAATTAATTGAATTGGAAAAGTGAAAGACCCTCCACTTTCTAATTTGAATATTTTAATTTATATAAGTATTTTACCGTCTCTGTTAATATATATAAAATACGTATTATCAATTCCTTTTCTCTCAAATATTCTAACAATTAATACAAGTTGTTATTATTATTATTATTATTATTATTATTATTATTATTATTATTATATATATATATATTATAAAAAGATTACAAAGGACTGGATAAATAATAAATAAATAAAAATGACAAATTAAATTCATAATTCACACTCACTATTTTGTAACTATTTGACTTCTATGAAAGTCACACGTTTGAGTAGAGCCCCCTGCGGTGCTCTCCACCGCATGGAACAAACTATTCTCCGGAGAAAAAAAAATTTCGTTTGTATGTTTTTTTTATGGCAGAAGTTCCTTATAAATACTTGCTTCGGACTTAACTTAGCTCTTCCGATACAGTGATATACTTCATCCATTCAAGTTGTGCTTGAATTGAAGATATTACCGCAATCAGTTTTTTAGTTTTCAAGAAAAAAAGAAAAAGAAAAGAGATAGCAATGGCGCAAGCTCCAGCGGAATACCATTTTTTCAACACGGCATTGTACGTTGGGGATCTTGACAGCAGCGTCACCGAAGATCAGCTCTATGATCACTTCAACGTGGTTGCCCAAGTCGTTTCCATTAGAATTTGAAGGGACTCTTTAACTCAGAAATCCCTCGGTTACGGCTACGTCAATTTCAGTAACGTTCAGGATGGTTAGTTTCTTTTTGCATTCGTAAGATTAGTCGCCTGTGTTCTTGGGTTGATACAATTCTTGGCGTTTGTTCTTGCATAGGATTGATCTTCGCTTTTTTTGTTGCATTGCTCGGTGTAGTTGCTTTATAGTTCTTGCATTGATAGGACTAATGGTGGATGTTGTCGTTTATGACTATTTTAACGTTCATCACAAATCGTAACTATCATGCAGCCGCAAAAGCATTGAATGAGCTAAATTTCAGTGTGTTGAAAGGCAAACCCATTAGGGTAATGTACTCTAACCGGGACCCTACTCTTCGTAGGACTGGTGCAGCTAACCTTTTTATAAAGGTGCCTTTTGCAGATTCTTCCCCCTTGATGAGTATTATTGAATCTTTTTCTGCTTGCTCATTGAATCTTGTAATTTCTTGATTGATGGTGCAGAATTTGGATAAGTCAATCGATCACAAGGATCTATTCGATGTTTTTGCGACTTTTGGAAATATTCTATCTTGCAAGGTTGCGAGGGATGCTTCTGGCGTGTCTAAAGGTCATGCTTTTGTGCAGTTTGATAACGAAGCCTCTGCAAAAGAGGCTACTGACAGGTTAAATGGCATGCTGCTCAATGATAAGAAGGTCTATGTGGGTCCTTTCATGCGAAAGAAGGATAGAGAGGCTGTTCCTAGTGGTGACGCAAACTTTAGTAATGTTTATGTAAAAAACCTGTCGCATAAAATAACGGATGCTGAATTGGGGACAATTTTTGGAGAATATGGACCCATTACTAGTGCTGCAGTGATGAAAGATGCAGAAGGTAGATCAAAAGGTTTTGGTTTTGTCAATTTCACAAATGCTGCTGCTGCTAGAGCTCGGGACGCTCTTGATGGAAAGACTTTTGATGGTAGGCAGTGGTATGTTGGAAAAGCCCAGAGAAAAACTGAAAGGGAGCTTGAGCTGAAAGAGCGTCATGAGCAGAATTGGAAGCGTCAACCTTATAAGCAAGGTACAAACTTGTATATCAAGAACTTGGACAGTAGTATTGGGGATGAATAACTCAAGGAAATTTTCTCTGGGTTTGGTACAATAACCTCATCCAAGGTGTGTGAGTATGGCTCTTCGTTTTGTTCGTATCTGCATTTGTCAAATCTTCATCGTCGTAAAGCGTATTTATTTTTGCCTGACATGCACAGATTATGCGAGATCCAAATGGAGTGAATAAAGGATATGGATTTGTTGCATATACAATTTCACAAATGCTGCTGCTGCTAGAGCTCGGGACGCTCTTGATGGAAAGACTTTTGATGGTAGGCAGTGGTATGTTGGAAAAGCCCAGAGAAAAACTGAAAGGGAGCTTGAGCTGAAAGAGCGTCATGAGCAGAATTGGAAGCGTCAACCTTATAAGCAAGGTACAAACTTGTATATCAAGAACTTGGACAGTAGTATTGGGGATGAATAACTCAAGGAAATTTTCTCTGGGTTTGGTACAATAACCTCATCCAAGGTGTGTGAATATGGCTCTTCGTTTTGTTCGTATCTGCATTTGTCAAATCTTCATCGTCGTAAAGCGTATTTATTTTTGCCTGACATGCACAGATTATGCGAGATCCAAATGGAGTGAATAAAGGATATGGATTTGTTGCATATACAAATCCGTAGGACGCAAATCGGGCTGTATCCGCACTGGTCGCGATCCTAGTTCCAGGTTAGTTTCGTTGCTGTTAGGTTTCGCTGTCAAACAATTTTTGAATTTTCTTTTTATTTTTTCATTTTAATTTTGAGGCGTTGTTGAGTAGGACTTACGAGATTATTCCACCGGTGAATTGGGGGATTCGGATTGTGCCGGAGAAGAAGGCGTTTGTGATTGAGCGATTCGGGAAGTACGTTAAGACTCTTCCCTCTGGAATCCATTTTTTGATTCCTTTCGTTGATCGTATCGCTTATGTACATTCGCTCAAGGAGGAGGCTATTAACATTCCCGACCAGAGTGCTATTACCAAGGACAATGTCACCATCCTCATCGATGGAGTGCTTTATGTCAAGGTTTCTGTTTCTTGTGTCTTTGTATTCGGTTATTGTATTTGAGTAGTCAAGTGGTGTTGAACTGTTTTTTTGGTTAAATTTCTTAATATGCAATTCTGGGATAAAAGTTAAGAAGGTAAAGTGAATTGAATTTCTCTTATAGGTTAAAATTAATTTATGCATAAGCTGATTTATAGAAGTTCTTGCATTTAGCTTCTAAAATAGCTTCTTTTAGTTTATGTATGGCTAATTTGAACTTATGGGAGGAGAAGTTTGATTCATTTTTGTCCAAACATGATCATGATTCATTTTATTTATTTATTGTTTTTTGCTTCGGGAGTGCAGATTGTGGATCCTAAGCTGGCGTCTTATGGGGTGGAGAATCCCATTTATGCTGTCATTCAACTGGCACAAACAACAATGCGTAGTGAGCTTGGTAAGATTACTCTTGACAAGACTTTTGAGGAAAGGGACACACTCAATGAAAAGATTGTGGTGAGTGTACTTATCAGTTCTTTGAATTTTGTTTGTGCTGTTCATGTTATTCCCTTTTCCTTACATGAGGAAGCATTTTAGATACTTTAATTTCAAGTCACAGATAAAATCTTGTTGGTGGAAGTCTCCTGTAAAGCAGAACATAAAATAATTCTGAAAAGTAAAAACATGTCTCTTTAGATGGAGCTATGCAAATTATGGAAAGGATGATTCGTGTAATTTATAATTCCATAGTCCTAAACCAATGGGGTTGGGTCTAATAGAAGGGGCTAGTCCCTCATAACATGGCGAAATAAGGTTTAAATTGAATCTTTGCTGGGAGAGATATTCACATTTAGTGTCAGATTGTGCTTCTAACAGGATTGTCTCTGTGAGAAACAAAAGAAGGGAAAAAAGAAAATCCACAGTCCTACTTCAATCCAGTTATATATACGGGAAAGAAAAAGAGAAACCAGACAATAGCTAAAAGTGAAAGTTTTGTATTAGTTGTGTTGGTTGGGTGATATTGGTTTCTTTCCTGCTGTAATCATGTTCAACATTGCGTAAGTCCCTAAACTATGATAAAATAGGAAACATTTCTGACAATTGGTTATGGGTTTATATATTAGATTTATTTAGCAAGGTTCGCATAATAAACATAGTCTTGTGTTGGTCATATAATAATGGTTGACAAAATTATTGCAGGAGGCCATTAATGTGGCTGCCAAAAGTTGGGGTCTGGAGTGCCTTCGATATGAAATAAGTAAGTTTTGACAGTGCAGAAATAATTTCCCTATATTTTTCACTTGACAGTTTCTGTGTAAATCTTTTTCTGGCTGTCCTTCTGTAGGGGATATCTCTCCTCCACGTGGAGTGAGAGCAGCTATGGAGATGCAAGCAGAGGCAGAAAGAAAAACGAGAGCTCAAATTCTTGAATATGAAGGTAATCTATTTGATATTCCAATCCTTCATATGCTCAATTTATCTTACTGCATTATTTTTCATCATGAAATTAGTTTTACTACCCATATCATTCAACTGAAAAAGGATCCTGTTCCTGACCCAATTACTACCTGTAACTTTTTAAGTTTACTGGTGTTGATATCCTGTAGTGTTTAACAGGAGAAAGACAGGCACACATAAACATTGCCGATGGAAAGAAGAGTTCAGTGATCTTAGCATCAGAAGATACGAGGATGGATCAAGTTAACAGAGCCCAAGGTTTTTTATATCTTGATAAATTGGTTCCACCTTGCATTTATGTTTCAATATTAATTCTTTAAGACAAACTTGGATGTCTAGCGAGCATGGTGCTATATATTATCCCTTCATTTGATTTCAAACTGTCGCTGTCGTTTATACCAAGGATATTTCACAGAGTGATTCTCTTGTGGAGAAGAATGATCTTGTGTGCCAAGATAATAATGAATTGTGGATTGGTTCATGGCCTTATGAGTAGCTGATTTGTGTTTTTTTCAATAACATGCCATGATTAATGTGCTGATCTATTTGATATGACATCTTCTGTTTTCTTCATATATCAATTTCAATTGGTTGATTTGATATTTTCAAAACCTAATGATTAATATGATTCTTCAGGTGAGGCTGAAGCCATCCTAGCTAAAGCAAAAGCAACAGCTGAGGGACTGGCTCATGTGTCAGCATCCCTAAAAGAAAATGGAGGACCAGAGGTGAGGATCTTCAGTTTTTTCATGTTTTATATATCACAACTTGTACTAGCTTTTTTAATGTTGATTAGTTTAACTCATTTTTGGTTGTTAGATTAATTTGCTTGTGTTTCGTTGGTATCTCTATTATGCTTGGCATTTTTTATTTTTGTATTGTCATTCCAGCGATAATTGGGAGACTTCTGTTTTGTACGTAAAACATGTTATTGATTTTCCCTTCCTAGTTAGTCATAGTTTTCATTACAGATCAACTTTTTATAATGTGAAGTTTCTAGAAGACAATCAAGTAAATGACTGACCATAATAAATAGGGTTTATCACTGAAGATATGGGAAATATCAAGTGGTGAATCTGTGGATAAATTTGCGCACATCTGTTTGAACCTTATTGAGTCCCATGGAATGTCAAGGAAGGGAATAATAATGTCATTTTATTTTTGCAGGCAGCTAGTTTAAGGATTGCAGAGCAATATATTCAAGCTTTCAGTAATATAGCCAAGGAGGTAATATAGCCCTTAAACTGATTGGTATTCAAGTCTTGCATTGCATAATTTGTTTAGTTGGAAAATTGGTTGTCATTTCATCTTTACTTTATCCTCAGGGCACAACAATGTTGCTTCCTAGCTCTGCATCCAATCCTGCACAACAAGGTTAGAGGTAATATACTATGCAGCCACAGGTCGCAGTTAACTCTATGCTTTATTATAATCGTGTTCTGGTCACCTTTAGGAATAAAATTTCCCAAATCCCAATTGGGTAATATTATTAACGTATTTTATGCAGGTACAATTTTCACAAATGAGGATTGCTGAGATGAGACCACAATTTTCACTAGGTGCACCACCTCGAATTCTAACGTACCCTACGAGGCCTCCTGAGATGACACCACAATTATTGTATGGGCAAACACATCGAGCAATCATAACTCAAGTAATTAAAAAAACTTGTTATCGCTGGTTTTTCAGTTTTCATTTTGATGATGTCATATTATTAGGAGACCTCCGTCTTGGAATAAAATGTGAATTTCACCTTCTATATTAGCTTGTGAATTCTTCATGGTTCAGTTGGTCTTGCGTTTTTACTCGTGCATAACCTGCACCCGACCTACATTTTAAGTTTTAATGATTCAGTTGATTGTGATGTATTCTGTATTTCTGTTCCTCCTGCATTGGTGATGTGTGTTGCAATATTAAATGAACATTTGATCTCCATTACAGACTGCATTTGGTTTCCAGCAACAGTTTTTTGGTGGAGGGACGGGTCCAGCGCCAGTCTTCTATCCAGTTCTTCTGCCGCCGCCCAGGGGACCCCAAGAAGCAGGTCCTATGCGATTGCCAATTTTACCCCAACAGGTCTTATTCTGCATTCCATTGGTGATTCCTTTGTATTTTCCGTTCCCTATTGCTGATGTGGATACTTGTTGCTGTGGTTTTCAGATGGGTCCAAGGGACCTATTTATCATAATCCTCCTCCTGCCCCCAATGCTCAAAATATTCGTCCGGAACCGAAAGGAACAGCTGAAGAAATGCCCCCTTTTATTGGCACTGGTCAGCCAATCCCAATTCAGGCCCTGGCAGCAGCCGTTGCCAATGCTACTACTCCTGATCAGCAGAGGATTGTAAGACCTGTTTCTGGCATGAGTTTCAACACATTTGGGTTGAGTACTAATTGTCTTATAAACTCTCTTGTGAATGGTTTTTGCAGCTGCTTGGGGAAACTTTATTCCCGTTAGTAGAAAAGCTGGTGCGTGATGCAGCACCAAAGGTTACTGGTATGCTTTTGGAGATGGACCATGCTGAGGTATTACATCTGATTGAGTCACCAGATGCTCTCGACACAAAAGTTACTGACGCCATGTATTTGTTGAGAAAATTTGAAGAGATCAAACAATCGATCGACTAATTGACTGTCTTTGAACGACAATCCACAGTCTAAGACTCTGTATGTTAGTTTATAGAAATTCAGACAGTCATATTTTTGTGTTTGTGGCTTTTTCTAGGATTAGTAAACACTCATTGTGGTAGCTTACTGATAGCTGTTTGCTTTTGTTCTCTTTAATACTCTACTCAGTTTGATACTTTTGCCCAAGTTTTCTTTTAAAATAAGCGTAGATTTCAGCTTTTAACTGCCTTTTCATTAATAAGCACAACTGAATTGCAGGACCGAAAGAATATGCTCTTGTGGTATTGAGCAATTGAACATAGAGGTGCACATGTATATCCTATTGCAGGTACGATCCTATTCCACTAATTCTTAATAGTGTGTCCATATTTTCACTGTAACCCTATTGTGTTTGTGTTTTTTTTTATTTGTTTTATGCAAGTCAACATGTATGATCCTATTCCACCAATACTTATTAATGTTTCTATACTTCCACTGTCATTCTATTGTGTTTTTGTTTGCGTTTCTTTTATGCAGGTTCAAGTGTACATCATATTGCTGGTATGATCCTATTCCACCAATACTTATTAATATGTCTATACATCCCCTATCCTCTTATTATGTTTGTCTTTATGTTTGTCTTATGCAGGTGCACGTATACATCCTATTGCAGGTGTGATCCTATTCCATCAATACATATCAATATGTCTATACTTCTATCGTCATCCTATTTTGTTTGTCTTATGTAGGTGCATGTGAACATCCTATTGTAGGTATGATCCTATTCCACCAATACCTATTAATGTGTATATACTTCCATTGTCATCCTATTGTATTTCTGTTTGTGTTTGACTCATGTAGGTGCACGTGTACATCCCATTGCAGGTATGTTCCTACTCCACCAATAGTTACTAATGTTTCTACACGTCCACTGTCAACTTATTATGTTCATCTTTGTCTTTGTCTTATGCAGGTACAAGTGTACATCCTATTGTAGGTATGATCTTATTTCACCAGTACTTATTAATATGTTTACACATCCACTGTCATTCTATTGTGTTTGTGTTTATCTTATGTAGGTTCATGTGAACATTCTACTGTAGGTATGATCCTATTGCACCAATACTTATTAATGTGTATATACTTCCACTGTCATCCTATTGTATTTCTGTTTGTGCTTAACTTATGCAAATGCGTGTATACAATCTATTACAGGTATGATCTTATTCCACTAATACTTATTAATGTTTCTTTATGTCTACTTTCAACTTATTGTGTTCATCTTTGTGTTTGTCTTATGCAGGTGCATGTGAACATCCTATTGTAGGTATGATCCTATTCCACCAATACCTATTAATGTGTATATACTTCCACTGTCATCCTATTGTATTTCTGTTTGTGTTTGACTCATGTAGGTGCACGTGTACATCCCATTGCAGGTATGTTCCTACTCCACCAATAGTTACTAATGTTTCTACACGTCCACTGTCAACTTATTATGTTCATCTTTGTCTTTGTCTTATGCAGGTACAAGTGTACATCCTATTGTAGGTATGATTTTATTTCACCAGTACTTATTAATATGTTTATAAATCCACTGTCATTCTATTGTGTTTGTGTTTATCTTATGTAGGTGCATGTGAATATTCTACTGTGTAAGTATGATCCTATTGCACCAATACTTATTAATGTGTATATACTTCCACTGTCATCCTATTGTATTTCTGTTTGTGCTTAACTTATGCAAATGCACATATACAATCTATTACAGGTATGATCCTATTCCACAAATACTTATTAATGATTCTTTATGTCTACTTTCATCTTATTGTGTTCATCTTTGTGTTTTTCTTATGCAGGTGTATGTGTACATCCTGTTGTAGGTATGATCCTATTTCACGCAATACTTATTAATGTGTGTATACTTCCACTGTCATCCTCTTATTATGTTTGTCTTGATGCAGTATGCACATGTACATCCTTTTGCAGGTAAGATCCTATTCCACCAATATTAACCAATGTGTCTACACTTTCACTGTCATCTTATTGTGTTTGTATTTTTTTATTTGTCTTATCTATGTGCACGTGTACATCCTATTGCAGGTATTATCCAATTCCACCAAAACTTATTAATGTTTCTATACTTCCACTATCGTGCGTATTGTGTTTGTGTTTGTCTTATGCAAATGCACGTGTACATCCTAATGCAAATATGATCTTATTCTACCAATACTTATTAATGTGTCTATACTTTCACTGTCATCCTATTGTGTTTACGTTTGCTATTTTGTTTGCGTTTTCTTTTGTGTTTTTTTTTTTTTTTTTTTTTTGTGTTTTTTTTTTTTTGCGTTTGTGTTTGACCTTGTGTTTGTGTTTGTATGATTTTGTGTGTGTTCATGTTTGTGTTTATGTTTATGTGTGTGAGTTTGTTTTGTTCGCTCAATTTATATCGAGCTAATAATTTTACAACCCCCTCAACCCACTATGAGTTAAGTATTTGGGGTCACTCAACCATACTTATTTTCTTTTACTCAATGTTTGCTTTTAATAAGCACAACTGAATTGCAGGACTGAAAGAATATGCTGTTGTGGCACGGAAAATCTGTGACGCGATAAAAATGCAGCTAATGTTATTGAGAAATTGAACATAGAGGTGCACATGTATATCCTATTGCGGTATGATCCTATTCCACTAATTCTTAATAATGTGTCCATATTTTCACCGTAACCCTATTATGTTTGTGTTTGTTTTTTTTTATTTGTCTTATGCAGGTCCACATGTATATCCTATTGTATTTACGTTTGTGTTTGACTCATGTAGGTGCACGTGTACATCCTATTGTAGGTATGTTTCTACTCCACCAATAGTTACTAATGTTTCTACACGTCCATCTGTCAACTTATTATGTTCATCTTTGTCTTTGTCTTATGCAGGTACAAGTGTACATCCTATTGTAGGTATGATCTTATTTCACCATTACTTATTAATATGTTTATAGATCCACTTGTCATTCTATTGTTTTAATGTTTATCTTATGTAGGTGCATGTGAACATTCTACTCGTAGGTATGATCTTATTGCACCAATACTTATTAATGTGTATATACTTCCACTGTCATCCTATTATGTTTCTGTTTGTGCTTAACTTATGCAAATGCATGTATACAATCTATTACGGGTATGATCCTATTCCACAAATACTTATGAATGTTTCTTTATGTCTACTTTCAACTTATTTTGTTCATCTTTGTGTTTGCCTTATGCGGGTGCATGTGAACATCCTATTGTAGGTATGATCCTATTCTACAAATACCTATTAATGTGTATATACTTCCACTGTCATCCTATTGTATTTCGTTTGTGTTTGACTCATGTAGGTGCATGTGTACATCCCATTACAAGTATGTTCCTACTCCACCAATAATTACTAATGTTTCTACACGTCCACTTGTCAATTTATTATGTTCATCATTGTCTTTGTCTTATGCGGTACAAGTGTACATCCTATTGTAGGTATGATCTTATTTCACCAAGCACTTATTAATATGTTTATAGATCCACTTGTCATTCTATTGTGTTTGTGTTTATCTTATGTAGGTGCATGTGAACATTCTACTCGTATGTATGATCCTATTGCACCAATACTTATTAATGTGTATATATCCTATTGTGTTTCGTTTGTGCTTAACTTATGCAAATGCATGTATACAATCTATTACGGTATGATCCTATTCACAAATACTTATGAAAATGTAGGTGCATGTGAACATTCTACTGTAGGTATGATCCTATTGAACCAATACTTATTAATGTGTATATACTTCCATTGTCATCCTATTGTGTTTCTGTTTGTGCTTAACTTATTCAAATGCATGTATACAATCTATTACAGGTATGATCCTATTCCACAAATACTTATGAATGTTTCTTTATGTCTACTTTCAACTTATTTTGTTCAATCTTTGTGTTTGCCTTATGCGAGTGCATGTGAACATCCTATTGTAGGTATGATCCTATTCTACCAATACCTATTAATGTGTATATACTTCCACTTGTCATCCTATTGTATTTCGTTTGTGTTTGACTCATGTAGGTGCACGTGTACATCCCATTGCAGGTATGTTCCTACTCCACCAATAGTTACTAATGTTTCTACACGTCCACTGTCAACTTATTATGTTCATCTTTGTCTTTGTCTTATGCGGTACAAGTGTACATCCTATTGTAGGTATGATCTTATTTCACCAACACTTATTAATATGTTTATAGATCCACTTGTCATTCTATTGTGTTTGTGTTTATCTTATGTAGGTGCATGTGAACATTCTATCGTAGGTATGATCCTATTGCACCAATACTTATTAATGTGTATATACTTCCACTTGTCATCCTATTGTGTTTCGTTTGTGCTTAACTTATGCAAATGCATGTATACAATCTATTACAGGTATGATCCTATTCCACAAATACTTATGAATGTTTCTTTATATCTACTTTCAACTTATTTTGTTCATCTTTGTGTTTGCCTTATGCGAGTGCATGTGAACATCCTATTGTAGGTATGATCCTATTCCACCAATACCTATTAATGTGTATATACTTCCACTGTTATCCTATTGTATTTCTGTTTGTGTTTGACTCATGTAGGTGCACGTGTACATCCCATTGCAGGTATGTTCCTACTCCACCAATAGTTACTAATGTTTCTACACGTCCACTTGTCAACTTATTATGTTCATCTTTGTCTTTGTCTTATGCAGTACAAGTGTACATCCTATTGTAGGTATGATCTTATTTCACCATTACTTATTAATATGTTTATAGATCCATTTGTCATTCTATTGTGTTTGTGTTTATCTTATGTAGGTGCATGTGAACATTCTACTGTAGGTATGATCCTATTGCACCAATACTTATTAATGTGTATATACTTCCACTTGTCATCCTATTGTGTTTCGTTTGTGCTTAACTTATGCAAATGCATGTATACAATCTATTACAGGTATGATCCTATTCCACAA